GGGTCAGCCAGGGCCCCTGATACAGAGTTGGTTGGATACCTGATAGTTCGCCAGCCAGCCCAGCCTGTAGCCACCATCTGTTGAACAAACAGAGAAGGACTGGTGGTTTCCCTGCTATCCTCCTGCTTGAGAGTTCACTTATGGCTGGGAGACAGGATTCTGAGCACCTTTGGTGTCAAAAGGCTGTCTTGGGGTTGTGCCAATTAATCACCAAACACGGAGCCTGTGGGCTTTAGGTGGGAGTGTTACCCCCATGAGCCTTATCTCAGCCAATTACCTTTCTTGACAATAGGAGCGGTGTCCCTCTCATTCCTCCTCCTCCTCCCTCCACTTTCTTCGTTCCCTCTGTTTCATCCCACTGCTTTCCCGTTCTTTCTGGGTGGTAGAGGGGAGTGACTCCCTGCATAAGGACACTCCCGGTCGGGCATCGTATATGCCCACAAGACGATCCCTGAGCCTGTAAGCACTCCCAGTGGGGAAGTGGACAGGAGCCATTGGCCATAACCAGACAGAATTTGGAGTTTTCATAAAGCTCCATGGAGAGTTTTAAAGAAATATATGTAGCATGATTTTTTAGAAGCAGAAGATTATTTAAATAGGATCTGAATCATGCAACAACCAGAGTATCACAACCAGGATGACCCCTGGGTCCCATTCCTAGGACATGGTAACTTTATTTTTCCCCTTGTTAAGACATAGGAAGACTTAATTTTTAAACGGTCGGTGTCCAGTTGAAGGCAGAACACTAATCAGATTTCAAGGCCCAAAACCTGGGAACTAGACCACCTTGTACCGAGGGACCTCGGCCACCTGGCAAAATCCACAGATGAAGTAAATTAAATGACACTACTGCCCTGATTACTCCTTAGGATGTGGTCAAAACAGCATCAAATGTTTCTTCTCTTCCTTTCCCCAAGACAGTGTCCTGAACCTGTTAAATTAAGTCATTGGATTTTACTCTGTTCTGTTTACAGTTTACTATTTAAGGTTTTATAAATGTAAATATATTTTGTATATTTTTCTATGAGAAGCACTTCATAGGGAGAAGCACTTATGACAAGGCTATTTTTTAAACCGCGGTATTATCCTAATTTAAAAGAAGATCGGTTTTTAATAATTTTTTATTTTCATAGGATGAAGTTAGAGAAAAATATTCAGCTGTACACACAAAGTCTGGTTTTTCCTGCCCAACTTCCCCCTGGAAGGTGTACTTTGTTGTTTAATGTGTAGCTTGTTTGTGCCCTGTTGACATAAACGTGTCCTGGGTTTGCTCTTTGACAATAAACGGACAAGGAAGGTCACCCTACGCCATCGGGCCGCTCCCCTCCTCCCCGTGTTGAAGCTCCTCAAGAGGCTGTGGTAGTATCCTGACACAGCAGTGTCCCTGTCCTTTCCCGCACTCTCTCCATCCCTCCAGGGATTAGCTCGGAGTGGTGAGCGGTGTGGGCTCCCTTTCCCCCATCTTGCCCTACTTCCGAGATCACAACCCAGTTGAATGGCAACCTGACATTTACCATCTGCCTCATCGGTCACCTCATCCCCTTTCCCTCTGCCCACCGAGTCCTCATACCTGCAAAGAACCCACGGATTCCCCCGTGCCCTCTTTTGGGGCAGCCCGTTGAAACTGAAGCACAGTCTGACCACTCACGATAAAGCAGATCCTCCTCTGCCTTTTCAGCCACTGGGTTTCAGAGCAGTGTAGTCCAGTAGAGGGCGGGGCGCCCTTCCCTCCGGCCAGAAGCCCAATCCCACGGAAGTCTAGCAAAGCAATACGACTCAGCCCTGCGCTCTCTGCCCCAGGACTCATGGCTCTGCTGTGCCTTCCACCCTGGGCTTCCTGTTCTTCCGTGACCTTAAGAACTGTGTCTGGTGGCTTTGCTGGAACATTGTCGCTGTTTTCGCTGTCGTGCAGGGAGCCCAGCACTGTGGCCAGGATGGCAGAGACTTCCTTGTCACCATGGAGAAGTGCCAGCAGGGGCCTGGGGAAAAACACTCTACCCAGACCTCGCCTCCCTCCTCCTTTGCCCGTGAACAAGATACTGTGGCCCTAGGGGTTCCACTAGTGTCTGGTTTCCTTTATTATTGCACTGTGTGAGGTTTTTTTGTAAATCCTTTTATTCCTTTTTTTTTTTTTAAAGAAAAAAAACCTTAAGCTGCATTTGTTACTGAAATGATAATGCACTGATGGGTCATGAATTCACCTTGAGAAAGACCCAAAGGCCAGTCAGGGGGTGGGGGAAACTCAGCTAAATAGACCTAGTTACTGCCCTGCTAGGCCATGCTGTACTGTGAGCCCCCTCCTCATTCTCTTTCTACCAGTCCCGACCCCTGAGGCCAGGGGAGGGACCTACATCTCTCCTTCTCTTGCCAGCTGCAGATGGTTTGCCTTGCCTTTTCACTCCCTAACTGTCAACCATAGAAACTGAGTAACTCCTCTTCTAGCTCAGCCTTGAGTCCGTTGCCAAAACTCAGCATACCTGCCAGCAACTTGGGGAAATAAGCTGTTTCCCTACAAGAGGGATAGAAGGCAAAACACACATACACACACACACACACACACAAACACACAAACAAACAACAAAAACAAACCGGCATATCTGTCTCCAAAAACACCTGAGTTTGTTTTGAAAGTGACCAAGGGAATCTCCGCACAAAAAGTGCAGACCGAGGAACTGTGGTGGGTCATTCCCAGGAATCCCCCCAAGGGGCATCCCGAATCCCTAAGGAGTAACAGCTGCAAGCCTGGTCAGTTCTCAGTGAGAGCCCGCTCACTTAGAGCTTTGCTGCTAGAACCTGTTGTGGCTGCATTTCCTGGTGGCCAGTGACAACTGTGTAACCAGAACAGCTGCATGGCGCTGACCTTATGGCCGGAACCTGGTCCCTGGGCTCCCTCTGTTCCCGTCCACCACCTCCAGCACAGCCCCTCCGGTTTTTAGACCAATCACCAGAATTAAGGGGGAAGCCCTGGCAGCTATATATATATATATACACGTTTTCAACCAGACTCCTTTGCCGGGGTACAGTCCACCACCCCGCTTGCCTCTGTCAAACCACACCCCCCCTTCCCCCGGCCAATGCAGTGAGCACCATGCAGCTCCTTTGATTTAAAATCTACAACAACATTAAAAAAAAAAAAAAAAAAAAACAAAAAAAAACAAAAAAAAAAAAACAAAAAAAATCTTTTAATGAATGTATCTTTCTAAAGGACTGACGTTCAATCAAATATCTGAAAAGACTAAAGGTCAAAACCTTATCAGATGTTAACTTTTAAGTTTGATTTGGGATTTTTTTTTTTTAACTAGAAATCAAGTTTGGGGGTTTTGTGGGGTCTTTTGGTTTTTTTTCTTTTTAAAGGAAAAGCGGGTCATTGCAAAGGGCTGGGTGTAATTTTATGTTTCATTTCCTTCATTTTAAAGCAATACAAGGTTATTTGAGCAGATGGTTTTTGTGCCGAATCATGAATACACCAGTCAAGTCTCACACTCTGAAAACTTTCAACTTTGTTTTGTTTTGTTTTGGTTTTCAAATAAATATAAATATGATATATATAGGAACTAATAGAGTAATGCACCATGTAACAAAGCCTAGTTCAGTCCATGGCTTTTAATTCTCTTAACACTATAGATAAGGATTGTGTTACAGTTGCTAGTAGTGGCAGGAAAATGTCAGTCTGGCACCCCTCTGATCCCCCGGAGTTGAGGGGACACCCAAACCACAGAGGGGGGCGGTAAAGCAGTCTGTTCCTAGGATCAGAGAGGAATGCAGACACGGTGTCACCCGGATTTTTTCTGCCCATGAATGTCCCAGTCCGTACCTGTACGCCTTGTTTTCTCTATTTTTGGTTATGAATGTTGGGGTTACCACCTGCATTTAGGGGGAAATTGTGTTCTGTGCTTTCTTGGTATCTTGTTTCCGAGGTACTCTAGTTCTGTCTTTCCAACCAAGAAAATAGACTTGTGGTGTTTCTTTCATTGAACTTTTAACAGTCTCTTTAGTAAATACAGGTAGTTGAATAATTGTTTCAAAAGCTCAACAGATGACAAGCTTCTTTTCTAGAAATAAGACATTTCTTGACAACTTGTTCATGTATAACAGATCTTTTGGGTTTGTTTTTTTTTTTTTCCTTGTGTTCTTCCAAGCTTCTGGTTAGAGAAAAAGAGAAAAAAAAAAAAGAAAAAAAATGTGTCTAAAGTCCATCAGTGTTAACTCCCTGTGACAGGGATGAAGGAAAATACTTTAATAGTTCAAAAAATAATAATGCTGAAAGCTCTCTACGAAAGACTGAATGTAAAAGTAAAAAGTGTACATAGTTGTAAAAAAAAAAAGGAGTTTTTAAACATGTTTATTTTCTATGCACTTTTTTTTATTTAAGTGATAGTTTAATTAATAAACATGTCAAGTTTATTGCTGCACATGATCAAGCTTTCTTTTGGCTTTGGGTGGGATGGAGGAGGTGGGGAGGGGAGAGCAGCAGCAAGTGGCCTGTGACCTGATTGCAAAGTACCTGCGACTCTTCTCTTCTTTTAAAGCTAACTTGTTAAATTACCCTGCCCTGCCTTCCTCTGGCCCCACTCCACACTGATTGTCCGAACTGTGTTTTCTAACCCTACTCATCAGTGGTGTGTGTTCAGGACCCAATTACGCCTGGATATGGAAAAGGAGTCAAGAGGACAATGAAAGAGCTTTACCTCCCGTAAGCAACCCCCCCCCCCCCCCGCCTTTTTTTAAAATCCATGGGCGGTCAAGAGGGCTTCCAAGGATTTTTCTCTTGGTCTATGAATATATTAAAATGCAAGCAGTTCAGAAAGAACCTGAGCAGCACCCTCTCTGCTTCATTCCACCTTACGGCAGAAATTGGATTCTTTTACTCTGTTCCCCTAAGACTTGGGGTGGGGGTGGGAAGGCAGTTGAACACTATTTGTAAATATTCTGCAAGCCAGGGTTGCTAACCCCAGGCCAAATGAGGTTGAGTTTACAGTACAGCTCAGGAATGGAAGACACTCCTCACAGGGACGAGCCTCAAACAGAACCTTGCCCTCTAGATCAGCTGGCTGCGAGGCTCAGCCCCCCTCCTTCCTCCCTTCTCTATCCCGAGTCACCTTCTGGGATTTGGGAGTTGAGCACCATGGGGACTCCAAATGACCAGGCAGTGTTGCGGGCCATCTTCAACCCCGACACCCCGTTTGGAGACCTTGTTGGGTTGGACGTGGAAGAGGAGGTGGAGAAGGAAGAAGTAGATGAAGGTGAGTTCGACCTTGGACTAGAGCGTGCCACGCTGGCCAGCCTCACCGGGGCGGCAGAGGACGGTGGTCTAGCAAGACCCCTTGTTCCATGACCCTTGGGTGATGATGAGGTTGGAATGCCAGAGGTCCGCATGCACTTAGTGCGCTGGTGGAGGCTTGGCAAGCATCTCTGCCCAAAGGAGAAAGTCACAGTTTGTCCTTCAGGCCTCATACTTCTGAACTTGACCTCACCAGGTAACTCAGCCCATAATCCCAGCCCAGCTGTGCTGGGGAGAAGGGGCGATAGGGTGGGGGGGTAGGAAATGCTCAACTCACATCTTTGTTCCAACAGGGCCTTTCTCAACACAGAGAATGGAAGGGCAGGGGTGGCTCAGTTGAAGGGTACTGACCTCAACACAAACCTCAGCAAGCCCAGCACTGAGCTAAGCCCTCCACAGAGGGAATGCACCCACCGGCCCTTCCTTCAGCCTCTAATGGGGCCTTACACCCCCACCTGGAGTTTCTTTTTTTAATGAGGCCTTCTACCCCCACCCGGAGTTTTTTGGTTTTATTTTTTAAGATTTTTAGAATTTATTCGTGAGAGAGGCAGAAACATAGGCAGAAGGGAGAAGCAGGCTCCCTGTGGGGAGCCCGATGCGGGACTCGATCTCAGGACCCCAGGATCACGGCCTGAGCTGAAGGCAGCCCCTCAACCACTAAGCCACCCAGATGCCCTGGTTTTGTTCTTTAATTAAGTAAGCTCTGTGCCCAACATGGGGCTTGAGCTCAGGACCCTGAGATCAGGAGTTGCCTGCTCTTCAGCCTGAGTCGGCCAAGCGCCAACCCCCGACCCCACCCCCATCAGGACTTTTGATGACCTTTGTTTCTAAAGGAGAGAAGCCTCCGTCTCACTGAAACTGCGGTCTGAAAAGCTGAGGGATACGTCCCACGTGATTTTCATGACCCGCGGGCCTTGGCGGCCTCCGTGTTGGAGGCGGTGTAGTAGAACAAAATGGGGACAGGCCAAAGAGCCAGAAAGACCTGGGTTCAAGTCCCAGCTGGGCGATTTAGGGTCCGTGTGACCTTGAGCTAAGGAGTCGGGGCAATGAGCAGCCAAAGCCCCTTTCCCGGGTCCCTTCAGAACGTAGACATGCCTGCGACCTCGGACACCTCGGCTCCCCGGGCCATGACCCGGCATCTGACTCCTGCAGTGACCCACACCCCAGCCCAGCCGGCTCCGGCTCAGGCCGCGGCTTTCCGAAGCCCAGCGTGGCTTTTGCTCCTGGCTCCCACCTGCACACCGTCCCCTCCCGGCTCTCTCCCTGACACAGATGAGGTTTTTCCTCGAGCGCAGCTGGAGCAGTCCAAGGCCCTGGAGCTCCAGGGGGTGATGGCCGCGGAGGCCGGCCACCTCAGCACAGCCCTGGAGAGGTTTGGCCAAGCCATTGACCTGCTGCCCGAGAGGGCCTCCGCCTACAACAACCGGGCCCAGGCCCGCCGGCTGCAAGGAGACGTGGCAGGTGAGGGGAGATGCCCTGGCGCTTCCACGGAGGGGCCCTGGAGGCCACAGACCGGAGAGCCAGGGCTTGTGGGGCTGGGGAGCCACGAACCTGTCCTGGAACCTCTGTTCTGACTTGAGAGATCTTACGGGCCCTGCTTATCTCTCGAGCCAATTGTCAAAGTCAGAAGAGACTGCATTCCACTCGTTTATTTAGCAAACATGTAATGAGAGTCTACTACTGTAGCGGTGGGCTGGGCATTGGGACAAACCTGCCAGACGGACTGCGTACAGCAACGACTACGTGCCAGGACTCCGGCACTTGCCATGTAAGCTCTAGTAACTCATTTAATCCTCGCCACAACCCCAGAAGGTGTGTGCTATCGTTACCTCCAGTTTACAGTTGAAGACACTGGAGCCGAGCTGGGGTTTGAACCAGGTGGGCCGGGCTCCAGAGTCGGTGCTTCTCAAGCTCACAGTCCAGGGGGTACGACAGACACATAGCTCTGATTTTGTGTCTAACGAGCTGGGTGGGTCAACAGGGTATCTGCTCCTGAGGAGTAGAGGTTTTATTTATTTATTTTTATTTATTTATTCAGGAGAGACACAGAGAAAGAGACAGAGACATAGGCAGAGGGAGAAGTAGGTTCCCTGCCAGGAGCCCGATGAAGGACTCAATCCCAGGACCCCGGGATCATGCCCTGAGCCAAAGGCAGATGCTCAACAACTGAGTCACTCAGGTTCCACAGGGTGGCTTTTTTTTTTTTTTTTTTTTAGATTTTATTCATTTATTCATGAGAGACACAGAGAGAGAGAGAGACAGAAATACAGGCAGAGGGAGAAGCAGGCTCCATGCAGGGAGCCCGATGTGGGACTTGATCCCGGGTCTCCAGGATCACACCCGGGGCTGAAGGTGGCGCTAAACCACCTGGGCTGCCCAGAGGTGGAGATAGCTGGATGGAGGGGGTGGAGGACAGTACAGCCTGTAGAGACCCAGAAGGAATGAAAAGGTACAGGGAACTCCAGATCTCCAGACTGGCTGGAATGGGGAATGGTGGGAGGGTAGAGTCTGCAGAAGTAAATAAGGGTCTGATGGTGAAGGACTGGGGGTGATAGGCACAGGTTGCACTGTGTCTTGAAAATATGGGGACTCATCAGAGGATTTGAACTGGGGACTGACTGGATCAAAGCTGCTGCACTTGGGTTACACTATAATGGGGACAATGGGACAGAGGAGGCCATGCTGGAGACCAGAGGGTGATCAAGTGCTCCTGAGGCCAGGAATACCAGTCCCAGGGAGTTTGGACTCCACTCTGGGAACAGTGGGGAACCAAGGGTCCCTTTCCCAGGCTTTGTTACCTGGATTGTGCAGGGCAGGGCTGGGCCAGGCTGTAAAAACAGCCAGGGACTGTCCAAAGACCTAAATCTGGGATCCCCGGGTGGCTCAGTGGTTTAGCACCTGCCTTCTGTCCAGGGCCTGATCCTGGAGTCCCAGGATCGAGTCCCACATCGGGCTCCCTGCATGGAGCCTGCTTCTCCCTCTGCCTGTGCCTCTGCCTCCCTCTGTGTGTCTCTCATGAATAAATAAATAAAATCTTAAAACAACAACAACCACAACAAAAAACAAAGACCAGAATCCCAGAGAGAAACAGAAGTGATGTTGCCTGGAAAAGGCTTTTGATTCCTCCAGATGAGCTCCTTGGAAGGAAACCCAGAAACACTGTGATCAAAGAGCTTCTTAGTTATCTAGAATGGCCTGGGGAGCATAGCCCCTGCTGGGTTCTGGAATCAAAACACACAGAAACAGGACCTCTAGAGATGGGCCTCTCTGTAGGATGATGCAGGAGCCCCTCGAGCACCCTGACAGCCCTGTAGACGAGAGAGCGTGAACTGAGGCAGAGCCCAGAAACACTCCAGCTGGGCGCTAAAGTGCTACCAGCCGGCTGCCTGATGTTGCGCTGAGTTCTAAGGCCTCCTCCAAGTATTTTGTATGACAATGATAAACGTGAAAATGTCCAGGGCCAGCTCTGGTTTCCAAGATCTCCTTTCATGAAAATACAGAATAACGAAGATCCAGGAGATAAAGGATGAGGAAAGGCAGCCAGCGGGAAGAACAGGCTTACAGCATACAATGAATAAGTGAAATGCCTTCAGAACGAAAATTAAGAGAAATGAATTTGATGGTCTTTCTAAGAAATGGTGATCAGTACATGGCAGTTTTTTCAGGCTCTGAGATTCAGAGTCAGTCACTCGGGGCAGGGTAGACGCTTAACAAACAGCAAACGAGTGGAATAAACGGCCAGGCCCATGAGCACAGGGACCGTCCAGAATCGCCCCCGCACCTCCGTGTTTGGGTGTAAAAGGGGGGTCAGTGCCCACTCTGCCACTGGAGACTGCGGGGCAGCCCGGGGCGAGTCCTGCCAAGCTGTCCAGGCCGCCGTGTGTGCGGGGAGGGTCGCGATGCCCAAGCGGAGGGGCGAGAGCAAGGGCAGGTGGCTGGGCCCTGACCCCCCGCCGTCCGTCCGTCCGTCCGCAGGCGCCCTGGAGGACCTGGAGCGCGCTGTGGCGCTGAGCGGAGGCCGGGGCCGCGCCGCCCGCCAGGGCTTCGTGCAGCGCGGGCTCCTGGCGCGGCTGCAGGGCCGGGACGACGACGCCCGCGGGGACTTCGAGCGGGCGGCGCGTCTGGGCAGCTCGTTCGCGCGGCGCCAGCTGGTGCTGCTCAACCCCTACGCCGCGCTGTGCAACCGCATGCTGGCCGACGTGATGAAGCAGCTGCACGGGCCCCGCAACGGCCGCTGAGCCGCGCCAATAAAGCTGCCGCCTGCCCCCGACTCTCCCGTGTCTGCGTGCGGCCGCCCGCGCCCCCGCTGCAGCCCACCCCGCGGGCCGCCGCGCTCGGGATGGGGGCGGGGCCGGGGCGGGGCCGGGGCCGGGCCGGGGCCGGGCCGGGGGCGGGCGGGCTCGGGCGCTGATTGGTCCCGCCTGGCACCGCCCCGCCGACTGCGGCGCCCCGCAGACCTGAGCAGTCGCTCGTGCGGAGCGCGGGGCGGGCGCCAGGTGAGCCCCCCAGGGGGCGGGGGCGGGGCTCCCGCGCGACCCCCGCCGCCCAGACGCCGCCGCTGCGTCGCGCCTCCGCCTAGTCCTCGGGGGGTGGGAGGCGGGCGCGGGGCGACAGATGGCGGGGGGAAGGGGCGACGGGGAGACGGCCGGGAGGACGGCCCCCTGGGGGGAGGGGCACGCGCCGCGGGCCTGCGTGTGCGCATGCGTGTGGGGCCCGGCGCGGGCGGGCGCCCGTGGGTCCCGGGAGGCGCGGTGTTCTCTGCGCGCCTGGCGGGCGGCTCCGGGCGGGGGGGCTCCGGGCGCGGGGGCTCCGGCCCCGCGGCTGCGCTCCCCGCGCCCTCGCCGCTGCGGGCAGTGCCCGTGTGTGTGTCGGTGCACGGTTTGTATTTGTTCCCCGAGAGCACAACCCCGGAGGACCTCCCGAGCCCGCCCGCGGTCACCCGGCTAACCTCGAGGCCCGCCCCCTTCTCTCGGCAGCCTGCGGCGTAGGCCGGAGCCGCCATGGCGCCGCCCCCAGGCCCGGCTGCCCTCCCGCGCTCGCTGCTGCTCCTGCCAGCCCTTCTGAGCTCAGGTACCCCGCCCCCGTTCACCCCCTGGCCCGGCGCTGCCGGGGCCAAGCCCCCCTGTCTCCGCGCACCCGGCCCCAGGGCACCGGGTTCCCCGCACCCACCCACCCACGCACCCACCCAAGGTCCGGCCGGTTCCCAGTGAGCGAACCTAGGTGCTCCTGCGGCCCTTGGCCCGCTGCCCAGGCACCAGCTCCGCCCCTCCCCCAGCTCTCCCCAGAACCCCTGCTGTGTTCCAGGTTGGGGGGAATTGGCACCGCAAATTGATGGTCAGACCTGGGCCGAGCGGGCTCTCCGGGAGAATGAGCAGCACGCCTTCACCTGCCGCGTGGCAGGGGGGTCTGGAACCCCGCGATTGGCCTGGTACCTGGACGGACAGCTGCAGGAGGCCAGCACCTCGAGACTGCTGAGCGTTGGCGGGGAGGCCTTCTCTGGAGGCACCAGCACCTTCACTGTTACTGCCCAGAGGGCCCAGCATGAGCTTAACTGCTCCTTGCAGGACCCCGGCAGTGGCCGGTCAGCCAACGCTTCTGTCATCCTCAATGTGCAATGTGAGTGCCCCTGAGGTGGGCAGGGACAGGGGGTCTCTGCCCAGGGACCCCCAGCAGCCACCAGGCAGGTGGCCTGATAGACCAGTTGACTAACACTTAAACACTTTGCAAATACTGGCGCACATTATCCTCAGGACAATCCTATGAGGTGATTACGATTGTTGGTTCCATTTTACAAACAAGAACAGAGCCACAGATTGGTTAAGTAATGTCTGCAGTCCTACAGCCAGGAAGCAGAGCCAAGATTCAAATCCAAACGTTTTGGTTCTGGTGTTGATACTGTTAGTCACTATGAGATGCTGCGTCTCCAGGAGACCCAGCTGTCCTGTTTCCCAGTGCCCCCTTGAGGAGAGAGGTCCAGGCTCCGGGCTCCCTTCTGGGTTTGGGAAGAAAGGGCAAGGAGTAGGAGGGGTGTGGTGAGAGTCTGTTGGCTTCTGCTTTGCACCAGTTAAACCGGAGATTGCCCAGGTCGGGGCCAAGTACCAGGATACTCAGGGCCCAGGCCTCCTGGTTGTCCTTTTTGCCCTGGTGCGTGCCAACCCACCTGCCAATGTGACCTGGATCGACCAGGATGGGCCAGTGACCGTCAACACTTCTGACTTCCTGGTGCTGGATGCCCAGAACTACCCTTGGCTCACCAACCACACCGTGCAGCTACAGCTCCGCAGCCTGGCACACAACCTCTCCGTGGTGGCCACCAACGACGTGGGTGTCACCAGCGCCTCGCTTCCCGCCCCGGGTGAGCACTGCCAGCAGCTGGCCCAGCAAAGCCTCAGGTGGGTGCAGGATCACAGTACTGAAATGAAAAGACTGGTTGCCCTTTGGGTGAGTCTTGCGAGTGAGCAGTGCCGACCGCTTTGGGCAAGGAAGACAGAGTAGTCCCTGTGGCATCTCAGAGTTGGGGGGCCCTGCCCACTGAGAACCTAACCAGAGGACAACTTGCAGGGCTTCTGGCCACCCGAGTGGAAGTGCCACTGCTGGGCATCATCATGGCCGGAGGGCTTGCCCTGGGTGCCCTGGTGGGGTTCAGCACACTGGTGGCCTGCCTGGTCTGCAGGAAAGAGAAGAAGACCAAAGGTAGGGCCAAGGCAGGGGTGGAGTGGGGCGGGGGGGAGCAGGGGTGGCAGAGCAGCAGGGGCAGGGGAGGGAGGGGCAGCAAGGACAGCACACAGGGCTACGGTGCAACAAGCCATCTCTGACAAGTGCCAGGTCTTCCCAGGCATGTCCCCGGGGGGAACCGGATGTGGCTCCGGCAGCGGGGCTGGGCACTGGGAACCCCGTCTGTCCCAGAGCCAGAGCTGGGCGTTGGAGGGATCCCTTGCCTGAGGGCCATGGGTCTGAAAGGGCAGAGGGGCAGAGCCCAGCATGGGCGGGCTCCCTGAGAAAGTGGTTTCTTTTCCCCTAGGCCCTTCCCGGCGCCCGTCTCTGATCTCTAGGTAACTGTTCCCCTGGCTGGCTGGCTGGGCCGACCCGGCATGCAGCATGGGGACACTGGAAACCAGGGGACTCCCTAGTTCTGGACTGGGCCCCAAAGCAGGCATCTGTGCCTGCCGGAGCCAGGGCCTATCCCAGGCTGTCTGCCCTGTAGTGACTCCAACAACCTGAAACTCAACAACGTGCGCCTGCCCCGGGAGAACATGTCCCTCCCGTCCAACCTCCAGCTCAACGACCTCACTCCAGATTCCAGAGGTACGGCCGGCCTCTGTCTGCCCTGCCTTTATCTTCAGAGGTGCTTCGGAGGAAGAGAGACACCTTGGTACTTGGGAGGGGCTCGGCCCGGTCAGGCAGCCCCTCATCCTGGGCACCACCCCCTCTGTCGCCCAACAGGGAAACCAGCCGACCGGCAGACGGCTCAGAATAACAGCCGGCCAGAGCTGCTGGACCCGGAGCCTGGTGGCCTCCTCACCAGCCGAGGTACTGGGATGTGGGCCCTTGGCCCCGCTCTGCTCCCCAGCCTTTGCGCTTCTGCCAGAGGCCTCTGAGCCTCCAAGAGGCAGAGAGGGGTCTCCCGCCTTCTAGGCAGTGATGCTCACTGAGTCCCGGGCATCCTTGACCCTGCAGGTTTCATCCGGCTCCCGATGCTGGGCTATATCTATCGAGTGTCCAGTGTGAGCAGTGATGAGATCTGGCTCTGAGCAGGGTGAGATGGGGGGGTGCCCTCTTGGCTCCTGGGCCCCCCCCTTCTCTAAGGCAACCCCTGCCTGGCCCCGTTGCCATTGTGAAGAGGTCATGCCACTCCTACTTTAGCTTGCCCTCCTGGCTGGGGCGCCCTCTGTGTCATCCATGTGGGACCTGACCCTCAGGGGCACAGGTGTCTTGGCAGAGCCACCAGCTGGACCTCAGCCTGTTGTTCTGACTCGGGTTGGGGGCCTTCACTGCTTGTGCCCCGGCGGATGCGGCTCTCTGTCCGCGTGTTTGCAGGTCCTCCAGCGTCTGGGTGTGGTGTGGCCCTGCTGGCCTGGGGCTGCTCTGTGCCACGCACTGGTACTCTTAGCACTCTGCACAGCAGGCATGGGGCATGCCCGGATGGGGGATGGGGGGTGGGGGGGTGCCTGCACGTCTTCACTTGCTTCCCGTGCTATGCAGCTTTGTGCCCTCAGGGAAAATCTAGGACCCTGATAGCTGTATAGAATCAAACTGCCCTTTGCCCAGGAACCAAGGCCTGGCCCAGGGGCAGTGGCCGAGCACAAACTAGTCCCTTTTGCTGCATACCTCTCTGCCCTTCTCTGTCTCCGCCTCCTCTTGGGCATCACAGGTTAGATACTAGACCTTCTCCATTTCTTCACTGGGCACTAGACTTGCCCACTGGCCTAGCCCCCAGTGGTGTCAGTGCCTGGCATTAGCACAAGTCAGGAGAAAAAGAGGCAGGTGGGAAGGGCACCCAAGACAGCATGTAGCTATGCATCATTTTTTTACAGTGTTAGCACTTTAAGCACATCCCCTGGGGAGGGGGTGAGGGCCCAGGGCCCTCTCTGTGGCCTCCCCAAGTTTGGCCTTCCTATGATTCACTGTGAGTGCCCTGAACCCTGGGGTTGGCAGTTTCCCTCTCAACAAGTCTCCCTGACCATAGGTGCCCATGACCAGCCCTTGACTGTGACATGGGCAGGAAGCCGCTCTTCCTTCACCCTCTGCTCTTCAGGGGATGGTCAGAGCGGCGTGTTGTTTGACAGAACTAGAAGCTTTAGGGGAACGTGGAGGGGGACCACATACCCCCCAAACAATCTAAAAACTCTCCGGAAAGCAACATGGAAATGATAGCAAAGTAGCATAGCACAAAGTATATTTTTCCCTTGTTGATATGTTTTATAATCCTTCTCATGTTCCTGCCTAGGACAGTGCTGAGCACACAGTAAATTTAATAAACTCGACTGAGTGAATGTTACGTGTCTGTCTCATTTCTTATATATGGTTTTAAAATGAAATCTTTGAGGGACCCCTGGATGGCTCAGCAGTTGGCTCAGGGCATGATCCCAGGGTCCCAGGATCGAGTCCTGCATCGGGCTCCCTGCATGAAGCCTGATTCTCCTCCCTCTGCCTGTCTTTCATGAATAAAATAAATAATCTTTAAAAATAAATAAAAATGAGGGGTTTTGGGATCCCTGGGTGGCACAGCGGTTTAGCGCCTGCCTTTGGCCCAGGGCGCGATCCTGGAGACCCGGGATCGAATCCCACGTCGGGCTCCTGGTGCATGGAGCCTGCTTCTCCCTCTGCCTATGTCTCTGCCTCTCTCTCTCTCTCTCTCTCTCTCTCTCTCTCTCTCTCTCTGTGACTATCATAAATAAATAAAAAAAAATGAGGGTTTTTTTTTAAAGATTTTATTTATTTATTCATGAGAGACACAGAGAGAGAGGCAGAGACACAGGCAGAGGAAGAAGCAGGCTCCCTGCAGGGACCCCGACATGGGACTTAATCCCTGGACCCCAGGACCATGACCTGAGCAAGGCAGAGGCCCGACCACTGAACCACCCAGGAGTGCCAAAATGAAATCTTTGAATCACACAGTGAATAGAGGAAACACTGGTGTCCCACTACTCTCTTGGATCTTCTCACTTGTTTGCCTCGGATCTTTTATTTTTAAAAATAAGTAATGTTATTTCTTTAATTACATTGTTCTCAATGACTAGGCTGGCATTTTCTGTTTGGGGAGAGCAGACAGAGCAGGGATCCTAGCTCTCCACCTGGTATCTGAGTCTCACTTGGCAGACTCCCCGTCTCTCATCTCTCAAGAGTGTGGCTAAACCATGCTGAGCTCTTGTTCTGAATAGAGGTACAGGAGGCTCAGACTAGGCTGTGATTCCCCCTCCCCCCAAAATCTGGAGGATCATAAGGGGGAAAAAAGACTAGAAATGAGGTTTGGGGGCACCTGGGTGGCTCAGCGGTTGAGCGTCTGCCTTTGGCTCAGGGCGTGGTCCTGGGGTCCTGGGATCGAGTACCATGTCGGGCTCCCTGCATGGAGCCTGCTTCTCCTTTTGCCTATGTCTTTGCCTCTCTCTCTCTCTCTCCCTCTCTCTCTCTTTCTCTGTCTCTCATGAATAAACGTCTTTAAAAAAAAAAAAAACCTCAAAGACATTACTTATTCATGAGAGACATAGAGGGGAAGAAGCAGGGAGAGAAGCAGACTCCCTGCGCGGAACCCGATGTGAGACTCCATCCCAGGACCCCAGGATCACACCCTGAGCCAAAGGCAGACGCTCAACCGCTGAGCCACCCAGGTGCTCCTCTAGAACATTTTCACCCCAAAAGGAACTCCAAATTCATTAGCAGCCATTCCCCATTCTTCCCTCCCTCCAGTCCCTGGCAACCACTAGCCTATTCTGTCCCTGCAGATTTGCCCATTCTGTGTATTTCGTATGAATGGAGTCACATACGGTCTTTTGGATTTGGCTTCCTTCATTCAGCACGTTTTCAAGCTTCACCCAAGTTGTGATTTGAAGGGCTTTGACCTGCATAATGAGCAAAGGCTTCTTCATCTGCATTTTCTCAGAAAAGAGTCTTTACCTTTGTCAAATTCTCCAAAGGGTCTGGGACTCAAAGGAACAAGGCATCTCTGATCTTTTTTTTTTTTTTATAAGGAAGCCATCTTGCTCCCGGTGCATGGAGCCTGCTTCTCCCTCTGCCTGTGTCTCTGCCTCTCTCTCTCTCTCTCTCTCTGTGACTATCATAAATAAATAAAAGTTAAAAAAAAAATTTATAAGGAAGCCATCTTAATTTTTTTTTTTAATTTATTTATGAAGTCACAGAGAGAGAGAGAGAGAGGCAGAGACACAGGCAGAGGGAGAAGCAGGCTCCATGCACCGGGAGCCTGATATGGGATTTGATCCCGGGTCTCCAGGATCGGGCCCTGGGCCAAAGGCAGGCGCCAAACCGCTGCGCCACCCAGGGATCCCAAGGCATCTCTGATCTAAGGGATACATCTGGAAAACTAGTTTCAAAGTCCACTTCTTTGCAAAGACTCGCAAGGTCAGATTTGCTAGGAAGAACCCACCTTTGTCCTTGGTATTCTCATGTCCAGAACCTCCCTGGTTCAAAGGTGACTATCTTCTTGGGATAGAGAGGTGGGCAGCATGGATGGGGACATTTTTGGGGATCTAATCCTTCTGCAAAACTTCAACCAATTCTCTGTTTTCAGCCCTACCCTGCCCGCATGCCAAAGAAATACCTGGCAGTTTCAATCCCTGATTCTTCCCAGGGTTCTACAGTGTATGTGGCTCACTTTTTTTTTTTTAAGATTTTATTTATTCATGAGAGACAGAGAGGCAGAGGCAAGGGGAGAAGCAGGCTCCCTTTGTTTCCCAGGTGCCCCCGTGGCTCACTTCTTATCAGTGTCTCGGTCTCTCCTCTACAGCCAAATTTTAGGCTCCCCCCACCCCACTAAATCAGTTACCACTTACTATCTTCCAGAATTGCCTAGTCTCATCGTTCTCTTTCCTATTATCCTTGCTGATTTATATATTTTTAAAAAATTGCTATTCTTAGGGGTACCTGGGTGGCTCAGTCAGTTAAGCATCTGCCTTTGGCTCAGGTCATGATCCCAGGGTCTTGGGATTGAGCCCTGCCTCAGGCTTCCTGCTCAACGGGGAGCCTGCTTCTCCCTCTGCCCCTTGCCCCCAATCCCACTCATGCTCTTTCTTTCCAAGTAAATACAATATTTTTAAAAATTATTATGATACTAAAAAAATTATGATACTGTCATTGTATAGGTTTAAAGGAGGGAATGAAGGTGTAAATACAGTGTTCAATACTTGTTTATTTCGAAGTGTTGAGAGCTTAGGATCAGCAGAAAAGGTGAGGGACGCTTCAAGCAAGGGAAACAGCCTGCATAAAAGTTAGAAGAGGGACTTCCGGGGCACCTGGGTGGCTCAGTTGGTTAAGTGTATGCTTTTGGCTCAGGTCACGATCCCAACTGCCAAGGAGCCTGCTTCTTCCTCCGTCTCTCATGAATAAATAATAAAATCTTAAAAGAAGAAGAGAGACTTCTGGAATCCTGGATACAGCACAGCAAGCAGACTGGTTTTCCAGTTTAACTTGGGGGTTTATAGAAAATGAGGATCTTGGGGTAGGAAGAAAGTAGCCAAATGAAGTCTTAAGAGGCCTAGTGGAAAACTTATACTTCGTAAAGTCATCACTACATACTACATTTTGTGGCACTTAATCTCTTCACATAGTTTTACCCACACGACAAGCCTAACAGTTAATTAGCATTTATAGTAACAGTTTCATAGCTAGGTTAACTGAGGTATAGATGTTACTGGATTTTTTTCTAGGGCCACAGAGCAAGGAACCAAAGGGAGTAACCACGGGTGTTGAGGAGGAGCGAGGAGGGCACTGCGAGCACTGTCCGGGATGCTCACCGCATGGCTGTGCTAGACGTGCTGGAGCAGCGGGGTGCGCTCCGCCGGGTTGACGGGCTTCAGCAGGAAGCACACTGGGTCCTGGTTGTTTGCAGATTCTGCCTTTGTGAATCCACTTAGGCACTGAAGTATGTGTGTGATCCCAAATCAATACATGCAGTGTTTTTTGTTTTTTAAAGATTTTATTTATTTATTCATGAGAGACACAGAGAGAGAGAGAGAGAGAGAGAGAGAGAGAGGGAGAGGGAGAGGGAGAAGCAGGCTCCATGCAGGGAGCCCGACGCGGTACTTGATCCCTGGACCCCAGGATCACGCCCTGAGCCGAAGGCAGGCGCTAAACCGCTGAGCCACCCAGGGATCCCCCATGCAGTGTTTCACAGTTATTTGCTGGCAAGCTCAGAGCAGTGAAAAATTTAAGTCAGTCAACACCTACCTTCCCTGCTGAGGCTGAAAAGCGGGGACATTCCGCCTCTGGTTTCAGCTCTCATACTGTGAACAAGCGCTCTGTGCCCCGTCTGGGTATTGCTTCGTTTTCTTACTGCTGGTGATTCTATTTAAAATGACGTCCAAGGGCAGCCCGGGTGGCGCAGTGGTTTAGCGCCGCCTTCAGCCCAGGGCGTGATCCTGGAGACCAAGGATCAAGTCCCACATCGGGCTCCCTGCTTCTCCCTCTACCTGTGTCTCTGCCTCTCTCTGTGTGTCTCTCATGAATAAACTAAACCTTAAAAAAAAAAAAAAGCCTCCGAGTATAGCTGACGTGCTGTCTAGCATTTTCTCTGCGTGAGGGCCGTGATGTGTGTTAGATAAGCTTCAGTCCAGCAGGACTTCCAGTGCTGGTGGGTGTGAGCTCAGTGAGTCCACGGTTGGTTGATGAACACAGCACGACCAGGGGCACATAGAAACCTAACCCTGTGTTCCCTAGGAAATATGGTTCAGGGTTTGCTGATTGGGTGACTGTCACGGCTTTATAGAAAGAACTATTGTGGGTAACGGGGTGCCTGGCTGGCTCAGTCCGTAGAACATGCGACCCTTGATCTCAGGGTTGTGCATTCAAGCCTGGAGCATAAACAAGATAAAACAAACTACTGTAGATGACAAGAATCAATGGTGTTTATTAGCGCTGACTCTCCGCTCTTGCCGAAGGAGGCAATCTGAGTGTTCCCTGAAAATGTAATGGAGTCTTTTCCCCCATGAGTTAAAGGTGAGCATCGATGGTATCCATTTGAGAGCAGAGCACCTGGTTCCAGTAGGATGCCAGAGTGAGGCCTGAGCACGAGTGCTCCTGCTCCTCAAACTGAAGCATGATGTGAACATCACGCCTGGCCTCGAGTCTGTCAGCAACAGTTCCCCTCCCATCTGTGTGTTTATTGTGTCTATATGAGGCTGACACTAGCTTTTTAAGGTAATTCTCCTTCCAGTCAGTTCTTGCCCCACTTCCCCCTATATCAGCACTTGGATACTTTACTCATTCAGCTGCTTAAGCCAAAAAACCTGGGTGTCATCCTTAATCCCTTTCCTTCCGTCCC